AAGAATGGATTCCTCTCCCACATTTTCCCAGTGCCTCGAGAGCCGGGCTCATTTGTTTCACAGCCCTTATTTCTACAAGCATAGCAATCCCCCTTTGAATAACCTCTCTGACTGAGTGAGTATAAACCTTCGCACCAATGCTCAATAAAAGACTGTCTCCTAAACAAAGGCTACAAAGAAAAATTAAATCTCATCATGAATTCTTATCAGGTAATATAAATTAAAAAAAAAAAGCCCTAAATTAAATCCGTTCAAGGCTTAATCATGGAGGGTCAGTGTGACATCCTAGAAATAAAGAAGCTGGCATTCAAAGCAGTTTCATCAATGCTCTATCCATTCCCTCTGGGGTTCCAGACACGGCACGAGGCTGTTTGAAATCACTGTGACTTCTGCCTCAGCATCTTTGGATAATTCAAAGCTGTGTTTAGCACCTGAAACCTTTTATGTTTCCCTGTGAGTATCATTGAAATAACTGCCATGTGTGCTTCTTATTTGAGATAGTCACTGGATTTTATCTGGTTTGGGCTATTTGCTGACAGTGCATGGTTCTTGAGTAACACAGACAACATACAACAGAAACACCCTGCCCCTTGGTCCGCAGGAGAGGAGGATGCTCCCAGTGCCTGCCTCCATGAGTTAGCCCAATACATTTGAATTGCTCATTAGCGTTCCAATGCCTCATTGTTGCCTATATGTGAACAGCTTAAGTGAATAGAAATCAGATGGAGGGTGGGGGAGGACATGCAGAGATTTCACATCATTCCTGTTGCCAGAGAAACCATTTTCTTGCTGTCTGGGCATGCACTGAGCAGCTTGGATCAACTGGAGGTTCAGCACAGCCCTTGCTGTGACTTTGGTAAAGAAAACAAACAGAAGGGAGAAAATGCTTACAAAGAAAAGCAGAACTGAGTATTAAAATGTTCTTTTAATTAGAATGGTTTTAAAGACTGGGCTTGGAAACACCTTGCTCCAACGATTGCTGCTCCATCTGACGGTGCACGTGTTTCTGCAATTCACATTCATTTCCATTTTTCTTCTCCTACTGTCTAGAAAACCATGTCTTCTTATATATTTATATCTATCTGGCATATTTACCCAAGAGGCTTGCTTCTCCTCATTCCCCTCTTTCTCTCACTCCCTCCACCCCCACCTCCAACACACACCACACAACTGTGCTCTGTTTAACACATGGAAAACTTCTCAGGGGAAAAGAAGGAACTGTGTATCATAGTTTGCTCCAAGTCAAAAAGAAATATCAGAAAATGAGGAAGCACGAGGGGAGGTTGGATGGAATTTCAGACATGTTTATTTAACACCTGGGACTGTCTGATGAAGGATATAGTCTAGATTTGAAAGTTAGAAACTCAGTTAAGAATAGATGAGGTAAAGTGTTCTAGTTCCCCAGGCACTGCTACACACACCTGTACTGATGAAACACACTGCTCTGTGTGTTGATCCTGAAGTAAAGCAAGCACTGGTGGTAATTAAAGAATTACTTATGTATGTTTGTATTTTTGACAGCTTTGGGAAGAGTTATTAGATATTTTTGATTATTCCTAACTTTTAAAGTTACCTACATTAAGGATTTCATGAGGACTTTAACATCTTGTGGTTAAGGAACCAGTAATTGGCATATACCTTTGATACTGGAGATTCTGTAAGACTAATAGTCCATTAATGAATTCCTCACTCCATGTGGAAATGATCACTCTCCTTTTTATTTTGTTTTTAAGGTTTATTTTATTTATTTGCAAGACAGAAATAAGATAGACAGAAGTAGAGACAGACAGAAATCTTCCACCCTCTGGTTCACATCCCCCCTCAATGGCTGTAACAGCTAGGGCTGGGTCAGGCTGAAGCCAAGAGCGAGGAGCTGCATTCATGTCTCACACGTGGGTGGCAGGGACCCAAGAACTTGGGTCATCTTCTGGTGCCTTCCAAGACACATGATCAGGGAGCTAAATCGGAAGCAGAGCAGCATAGATTCGAACTGGCGCTCCAATATGAGATGCTGGAGTCACAAGTGTAGCCTCAACCCTCCCCTCTCTGTTTTGCCGTTTCTACCTCTACAAAGTCTTGATCAAAGTGTCTATACTATGTCACGTATTTGTCCTTTTTTTAAGATTTATTTATTTAGTTGACAGGCAGAGTTACAGACATACAAGGAGAGACAGAGAGAGAAGTCCTCCCTCCGCTGATTCACTCCCCAAATGGCCACAGCGGAGCTGAACACATCCAAAGTCAGGAGCCAGGAGCTTCTTCCAGGTCTCCTACATGGGTGCAGGGGCCCAGGCACTTGGGCCATCTTCCACTGCCTTCCCAGGACATTGGCAGGTTGCTGGATCAGAAGAGAGGCAGCCTGGACACAAACCGGCGCCCATGTAGGGTGCCGGCGCTGCTGGCAGAGGTTTAGCCTACTAAACCATAGCACCAGCTCCACTCCTTCTCCCCAGCTCCAACAGATACATCAAGGATATACCCAGCTCCTCTTTATTTCCACAACCCCTGTACCATGCATCAGTCTGGTATATAATAAGTGTATAAGAAATGATTTTTTTATGTGGCTGCATGAATGAAGCAACACCCAAAGGTATTAATATTATGCTCAAGAGCACATTATAAATTGAGAGTTAAGTAGGGGATGTGGAGTTTAAATTTCCAGATTGCTGTGTCATGGTAATCACTAAACACCATTCACATTTATGAAATGGGAAAAATCACAGATTTTCCTATGTAGTCTCACATTCCAAAGTGTGCGATTTTGGGGGGGGGAATTATTAAGAAGGTAATTTTGGTTATCTTTTCCGTTCTTTCTGGCTGTAGTTGAATGGTCGAATGTTTTCTTTTTCCGTTGTAAACTGCCTTTTCAGATTATTGCAATGCTAGAATCTTCCTCTGCAGGCACAGTGACTACATGCTAATTTCACCTGCTCTGGGGATATGACCTAATTTACACTCCCTTCTAATAGACCATCTTTTTCAGGTCAACACAGGTGGAAAACAAAGTGACAGGTTTTAAAGCACCACACTAAAATTATTTAGATTTGTTACATATTATCATTCATGTATTTTTGCTTTCTATTTCTCTTAGTACGGATGGAAGGTCTAAGTTATCTTTTTTATTTTTGTGGTTCTCTACATGTTTCTTTCTGTCTTTCTTTCGGTTCTTTCAATCTTTTTTTTGGCCTGTTGTCCAGCAATTAAACAAATCACAGTAGAAGCTATTACAGATCCTAGCATAATAACGTCATTACTCATAAGTCCTGAATGCAGATTTTGTCATGCAATAAAATTGCTGGATTTTGGCCTTACCAGCCAAAGTACATCTCTCCTTTATTCTTTTCCAAATCTTTTTAAAGATGTAATTCTGAGGAACCTCTGAATTAAGGTGAACTTCAGGGCAGTGAATTTGCCATGCATGCATCCACCTCCCCAGTTAGCTGACTTGACAGAAATGGAAAGAAACTGCAGCCTTAACTTGCACTAGGAAGCAACGCCTTCTTTTGTTAGATCTTCTCATTATAAGTGCAATTGACAGAGGTGTCTATTATAAGCTATTTGTTATACAATCTTTATAAATAGCTCTCATCATGTATAAGACAAGTCTAAATTTGTTTGGAAATAGCTTTTGAAGACACCCTGCTGTGGCTTCCTTACAGTGCCAGGCTGACGTTCAGTGGGGGAGTCAGACACTCAGAACAAAGTAGATCTAGTCATCTTTCCATCAAGTAAAAGTGATGAGCATCACATCCCACTTAAATGATGCGGTCTAACTGGAAACACGGTTCTTAGATAAAAGTATACAATTAAGCAATGTTAGCCATCCAAAGCATCCAGTATAAATCTTGTTTTGATTTATTTTGGGGATGCCCTGCTTAACTTCTTCAGTTTGCATAGTCACCATTTCTCTTTCTTCTAACTCATAACTTGACTTGCAGTCCAGTGAAGGAAGGTCATAAAACTCAAGCATGTGATTGCCTATTCGCTTGAAAGAAAAGTGTGTGTAAGAAAGATAGAAAGCTCAGGGCTAGTCAAGTCTTGGTTCCATACTTCTATTCAAATGCAAGTTCAAAAATACATTTCAAAGTCAAGTAAAAATATTGTTTGGATTATCCACCCTTTTGGATTATACACACCACTGCTCTCCATGACTGCACGTAATTAAGAGCTTCTTCTTGATAGGAAAAAGTATTCGCTTAAATACTAACCCTCTATCCTCTCAAACTTTTCACAAGAACTTTAGTAAGTGAAGCTGACGGAGTTTAATTCCACCTTCTTTCTCTACTCAGTGTAGGACAGAGATACTCAAAAGCAGGAATAGGCCACAAAGCACTTAGGAAGTGGTAAGCAGAGAAGCTGGGGACCTGAATAATTAAGACTCCATAGTTAGTTCTTTATTATGGAGGTTTCTCAACACAATTCCAGGAGTTAAGTCAGAAAATAGGGCCTTCGCTGCAGGCATAATGGCAATAAGCTGACAAATATGTAGACATGACAAAATTATAGGAAAGATGTAGACTGTAGAGACTATCCAATCCACCATCCCAGCCCTATTTTACAGATGAGGAAACTCATCAAAACTTAGTCTTTTCAGGTAATAGCAACTGACTCTCTACCACCTCTCTTCCTCGTTCATATTTCTAATGTAGCTTGCTTATTAGTGTTATTTACACTCTTCTGAAACGGCCCCCAACAGGGACCTGGTAGGGGTCCATGGTAATCTCCCTCAACACTGTAGCAACACACAGTGAAAGATTCCTCCCTTGAGTCAGATTGAATTGCACTCATAATCTTCAATAAAATGGAAGTCCAACATATGCATTTCCTGTCACCAAATATGATTATGAATCTCAGTCCTATGTAATATTGCAAAGTTCTGTAAGTGTTTGATATTATTACCACCATGCATTAGATTACACAGAGAGAATTTATAAAGATTTAGCTGTGCTTCCAATTGCCAAATTAATTACATCCTCAGAGCTTGTTTGTCAAACGTTTATTGATTCTGTTTTAAAGTTGTTGTAGAAATACTTCCTGGATGCTAATAGCATTACCTTTTGCTTCAGTTTCTGAGCTTTGAGTCCTTTGGTAATAGTCTTCAGTTTTTTGTAGTAAGGATGAAGCTCTCAGAATTCACGGATCTGGAAGAAGTAGCTGTGGGTTGACAAAGCATCTGACTATCTGACGTTTTTGCACCTTTTGACTTTCAAGAGCTGCATATGTTTTTGTCAAGTGGTACTTAATTATTCCATCAGTAGCAGCATTCTATAATTTATGAGCATCTACTTCTGTTGTGTAAGCTCCTAACTCCCTTCTCCCTTTGATTACTATCGTTCATCAACATGATGTTAGAACCACTCTTGCAATGTCCCCTTCAGGAGTAAGGTTGTAATTATTGTACCTAATGATGCAGATAAAACCCCAGATTCATTTGGCTTCTCCCTTATTATATCATAGTTCTCTGTATCCAAGAGTAGGTCAGGACTCATATTCTTTTTAAAAATCTTTATGCATTTATTTTCATTTTATTTATAAGGCAGAGAGGAGCCAGTCAAAGATCTTTGTTCTGCTAGTTCACTACCCAAATGCCCACAAAAGGCCCCGTCAAAGCTAGGAGTCTAGAACTCAGTCTGAGTCTCCGGCACTTGAGCCATCACCACTGCTTCCCAGGGTGCACATTCACAGGAAGCCTGGTTGGAAGCAGAGGGAGCAGTACTTCCACAAGGCACTCTGACGTGGGATGCAGGCTTCTCAAGTGGCAGCTTAACTGCTGTGCCAAATGCCTGCTCCAATAATCAGATTTTTTAATGGGAGTAATATAGCTTCCCTTGGTGTCCACTACCTTTTCCCCCTTCCCAAACATAGAGTCTTGTGCACATCTTTACCAAGCCCTGGACATCTTCAAGGTACTTGCTACTTGCACTCAAACAGGACTGTGTGGGAACACACATTGTATTTATAATTAGCTAGAGCTCCAATTTAAAAATAAAAATTATTTGAGAAGGAGATAGAGAATTGGCAGGTGCATGTGTGCAAGAGAGAGAAAGGAAGTTCCCATATGCTGATTCACTCTGCAAATGCCCACAACAGCTGGTGCTGGACTGGGCTGAAGCAAGGAGCCTGGAACACAATGCATGTCTACCACGTGGGTAGCAGAAACTCAATTACTTGAACCATCATTTCTTCCTTCAAGGGTCTGCATTAGCAGGAAAGCCAAAAGGTAGGAGCTGGAGCTAGGTGTTGGACCCAGGTACCCTGATATGGGATACAGATGTCTTAACAGGCTAAATACATGTCCAAGAGCCCTGATTTGGATGGCTATCTGGCTTTGTGAATTTGGACTAGCTGCTAACCTTTGTTTCAGTTTCCTTTTTTATAAAACATATGGGATCTTACCTCTTATTTGGGTTGCATAATGTAATATGTATTCAGTGGATGATAAGGTGTATTTATTAGCACAAATAACCATTCTATTGACAGTGATGATATAGCATCAGACTAGCCTTGTTAGTTATCCTTCCTGTGCTTGTTAGAAAGTTCTGTTTCACAACTTCAGGACTTGCAGCTTTGTGATCCAAAGGAAGAGTCATGAAAACACTGCGTTTACCTGGCTGGGTATAGCATTGACACAGAGAAAACTTGTGATGCAGGGTCAATACTGGGAAGTCGCCAGAGAGCAGAGTGTTTAAACTGTGATCCAAAATTCTGAGAGTAGGGGCAAAAAGTCAATACCAAAAGTTCATGTGTAAATGCTAGGAACCAAGCACAGATGATACCTGGAGATACAGCTAAGAACAGCAGTTGAAGAGGAGGAATCAGGAGAAACAGCTAATGTGTGGACACATGAATCCTGCTGAACTGCAAATCATGTTTTGCAGGCCCTATTTTTTACTGGGCACCAGAGAGACTCATTGAACACTCGGATAGTAAATGTAATTTGGAACGTGTACTCCAGCTTGTTTTCTTATTCAGTATGGTGAAAAATAAGCATGAACTGGAGTGGTGGCCATAGACATGAGAATAGCATGCTTAATGCTTTAAAAGGGAAAGGAAAGCTGGGCCATAACCAGGCTGGGATTGTCTGAAAACACTTCTCCTGGACATGCAGGAGCTTGGGCAAGCAAGGCCTGAAGGTCATTTTGGGAGAGAATACTTGTAAGGACAAACAACAGCTGTTTTTCTAGCTGAAGCATGTGTGTGTGTGTGTGTGAGTGTGTGTGTTGCAGGTAAGAAAAGAGAGACTCAAACAAATATCATGGGGGAGAAATGAGGCTGCACTGGCCAGTAGGAGCTATGTCATTAGGCTTTGCATGTCATGGTTAAGATGTGAGATTTTATTCTGCAAGCAATGGTGCACTTACCAGTTGTTTTAAGCAGGGTAGTGACATGACCAGATTTATGTCATCTGAGGAATGACTTGTTGGCAGCATGGCGAGTAGACTGGGGGACGGAGAGGTAAGGGTCTTTGGCAGAATGACAAGGGCGATTCAAAGAGGATGTTACTAGCAGGGATGGAGAGAAGGAGACAAGTGGAGAAAGTACATGTGACAGGAAAGATTTCGACCCAGGAATTTTATGGAAAGTGCGATATTGGTGGAACTAAAAATTTTTTTAAAACATGTTACTGAGAGTCAAAACGCTTATACATCCCTTGGAACCGTCGACCCCTGGTTCTGGTAATTACTGCTTGAAACTTAGGGTTTATTCATTCATGAAATGGAGTTAATGATACCTACGCTGAAAAGTAGATGTGAGGGTGAGCCATGGTATGTGGAAATGGATCACCACTTGGGAGGCCCTTATTGTTATTGTTACTATCATTAGAGATGCACTTACCAAACATAGAGGGTGCGTATTTAGACACTTCATCAAACTTCTTTCTCTAAACATTTTCTCCCATCAAGCCCTAAGTGAGCTATATGATATCTAGGATGAAATGAATTAACATGTGTAAGCCACTCAGAATAATGTCTGGCTGCCAACAAGCACCGCATTTCATTAATATAAATAGCTAAATAAATAAATATTTAGTTCATTTACTGTGCATTGTCAATTACTCTGTCATGCTGAGAAGTCAGGAAAGGCTCTGAATTCTTCTTGAAAGGTGATGGCTCCAAAATTAGAGAGAAATTTAACTGACAGCCTAAATGTATGATAACGCTTGCTTATCAGTGAATAAGCCTTAAAGTGGATATGGATTATAATTTCTTTTCACTGGGCTCTTTGAGGAGCAATTTTCAGTCTTGTCAAAGAAAGCCACATGAGTATGGATGCATTTGAATGAACAAAGTTTTAGTTAATAGAACAGATTGAACATAACATTTATGATTGTTAAATAAGGACTGAATTATCAACTTTAACGCCTGTCAGTTCCCATTGGTAGAAAATCTGCACAGAATCTATTTAATCTTTCCAAATTTCGCTGCAGTCCGAGATACATTACTTCCTGGTAAATCTTCAGTGAGACATTATATAGGTGGATATACATTAATCTTAGAAAAGGGAATAGTCTGTACTTTACTTTTAAGAGATAAAGGACTAAACCTTACTTACATTTGACTTTAAATGGTTTATCCCTCCATTTTGCCGTTTTAGAAGTATCTCTTACCAGACTCCATTAAGCTCCAAGGTTAAGTCTAAGGTATGCATGAGAGTAAAATCAGAGCAGAGAATGCTTTTGCCAAATAGTAATGAAATCTAGGTATGTAAAAACAAGATGATCTCATTAAAGCAATAATAAACACAAAAGGATATTAGGGACCAGATGGAAATTCAAATAGGAGTCTCTATAATGGGATATAAGAATGCAAATCATTTGGAGTGGAGTTTTTGCACATTTAAATGTAGTTTCTTGTGTCATAAAAACTCATACACATAAAATACAATCTGTTAAACTGTTTGTGTTTGAATCATAAGAATTTCCAAGTAGAGAAACAATGATGTTTATTTGAGTATTAACACCTATAGGTATTATTGTTAAGTTTCAGAATGAGTATTAAGTGTAAAATCTCAAATGATAAGTGATATAATTTACAAATGTTTTGAAGTCAAGGGTTATATTGCACTAAAAACCTTATTTAGGCAGATCCAACAGTATAGTTTCAAAATCATCTTTCTGGTTTATTTTGGGGAGTGGTTCCATTATTAACACATCACCCCTAAAAGGTTACATTTTTGAAAATTTTTATGATTTGGTATATATGAGCAGTTTTAAGATGTTATCTATCATCCTCCCTTCATTTTTTCCCTTCCTTTAATAATGTGTGATCCTTTTCCTCTTCTCTAGTTTGCTTCTAATCTTTAATTTTGATACGTAACTCACCATGCCTCCAAACACTGGCATTGCTGTTCCTCCAGCTCCCTTGGCAGGCTGGGTGGCTCTTTGCAGAGGTTAGCTCAACTGCAAGCAGATAAAGGCAGGGGCTTCAGTAATTTCTTGTTTCTTTGCTTATTTTATGAGATCTATTCCAGACCTGGAAGTGAGAATTCAGTGTATAGGATGCTGAAACATCTAGAGAAGCAAAACCATTCCCGTTGCTTCCCTGAGTGCTTTCACACCAGAGCCACTCAGGCTCGGCTCATGGCTCCACAGATCCCTCACCTGTTGTATTCGGGTATGTGTTCCTCTATTTTGTTGTTGTTTCTTTCTCCCTTACAATGCCTTTTGAAGACTTTCAAGGAGAATACAAAAACAAATGATAGCCTTGCACATAGTTTCAGGGATGGCTCCAATTCTACTTTCATAAGCTTCCTCCTATTACCCACATTCATCTCTTAAGCTTATCTCTTATTTGAATACAGGATATAGTCTAAATATGATCAACTTAAATTGTTCCCTAGTTATTTTTGTATTCATTAATCTTGCATTTTTTGATTAATATAAATTATTGAAGGACAAAATTTATTTATTCAGTATAGATGCAAATATATTTGTTTTAAGTATATAATAGTAAAAAGCCTTTATTGTAACTTGAAAGTACTAACTTTATCATATAGTTCTTTTTAATTTTTAAGGATTTATTTATTTATTTGAAAATCAGAGCTACAAAGAGAGAGGAGAGGCAGAGAAAGAGAGAGAGGTCTTCCATCCAATGGTTTACTCGCCAATGGGCCGCAACGACCAGAGCTGCACTGATCCAAAGCCAGGAGCCAGGAGCCTCCTCCGGGTCTCCCACGTGGGTGCAGGGGCCCAAGGACTTGGGCCATCTTCAACTGCTTTCCCAGGCCACAGCAGAGAGCTGTATTTGAAGTGGAGCAGCCGGGACTAGAACCGGCACCCATATGGGTTGCCGGCGCTTCAGGTCAGGGCTTTAACCCACGGCACCACAGTGCCGGCCCCCTATCATGTAGTTCTATAAATGATTCCTGATTGGATTATTAGCCTTATGTGACTGTGATGGTCCTTGTGATAACTCTGAGTTCATTTTCTGTAGATCAACTTAAACTAGGAACTTACTGTGTATTTCTCTACATCACGTAGCTACTCAATAGTGGGTTTCAATAAGAATTCAGCAGGTTATTTTTTTTTTGCCCATTGGAGAAAATTAATAGACATTCTTGCTATGATTGGCAGTCTACCAAAAAGAACAGAAATGGGAGATTGTTGTTGTTGAAAACTGGAAGCAAACCATAAACATTTACTTTAGCAAAGTAGGGTTGGGTTTCAGTCACTTTGTACTACCTGGAGATTTTTTGTTCAAAGGCAGGTTAATCAGCTGTGTTTTCATGGAGGAAACATTATTCTTACTCTCCTAGAAAATGTTGGCCCACATGACCAAAACATGCTCATCAGGCAGTAGGTTTGCAACAAAATTTGAATCAGCTTCTTCCCAGTCCAGTCCACTGGTGGAAAGCTTCATTCAAGGGTCCCTGTTTACAACTCTTGAGAAGATGATCAGTGATTGTCTGAGCTTAGGTTTATCCATGGCTAGAAGCTGGTGTAATTTAAATCAGCTCTTCCCAGAAAGAAAAAAAAAGCTCCAATCTGCAGTGTATGCCAATTTCTGTGATGTAAATATGCCCAATATGGCCAACTTCAAACTACAAGAGGAATTAGTATCCAGCTTGCAAAATTCCTGAACACTAAAACCTTGATTGACAAGTCAACTCCAGCCTGCTTTTGGGTACAACTGGGCTTGTAACAGACATCTTTGAAAAGTTTCCTGAGTACTTTGGCAAAAGCAAGAGTCCATATTTATTCTTCCTGCTATCCTTACTCTCTATTGGTATATTTAATAACCCTAACTGAAAACAAGACAGAGCTCTGGACATTTGGAAAGTAAACTCAGTTTTCATTGTACACAACTCTTTTTTTTTTTTTTTAATGGAAGAACTGAAGAGGATTATTTTTTTTTAGCTTTTTTTTTTATCTTTTATTTAATGAATATAAATTTCCAAAGTACGACTCATGTGTTACAATGGCTTCCCCCCCCATACCGTCCTTCCCACCCACAACCCTCCCCTTTCCCACTCCCTCTCCCCTTCCATTCACATCAAGATTCATTTTCGATTCTCTTTATATACAGAAGATCAGCTTAGTATACATTAAGTAAGGATTTCAACAGTTTGCTCCCACACAGAAACATAAAGTGAAAAATAATAGATGATTTTTTTTAAATGATGATGAAATCAGATCAGACCTATTGTCATGTTTAATCCCAGTGAGAGTCAAGTTGGGAATTGATAATTTCTTTTTTTTTTATTTTTTTTTACAGAAGATCAGTTTAGTGTACATTAAGTAAAGATTTCAATCGTTTGCACCCCCATAGAAACACAAAGTGAAATATACTGTTTGAGTACTCGTTATAGCATTAAGCCTCAGTGTACAGCACATTAAGGACAGAGATCCTACATGAGGAGTAAGTGCACAGTGACTCCTGTTGTTGACTTTACCAATTGACACTCCTGTTTATGGCATCAATAATCTCCCTATGCACCAGTTATGAGTTTCCAAGGCTATGGAAGCCCCTTGAGTTCTCCGACTCTTATCTTGTTTAGACACGGTCATAGTCAAAGTGGAGGTTCTCTCCTCCCTTCAGAGAAAGGCACCTCCCTCTTTGAAGACCTGTTCTTTCCACTGGGATCTCACTCACAGAGATCTTTTTGCCAGAGTGTCTTGGCTTTCCATGCCTGAAATACTCTCATGGGCTTTTCAGCCAGATCCGAGTGTACACAATTCTTTATTACTGCTCTTGTCATACAATCCAGTTGTCTCTTACCTCTTCTTGGACACTAAAATCTATGTCTTTCTTTGCCTTTGGAGTTCAATTTTTAAAATGCTGTATTGTTTAAAATGTTTTTTTTAAAGTAATGAGTGAGTGATTTTGTAACTTATTCATCATGATACTTTAATAAAAATCTATGATTCCTAATTTTTTAGGATTTATTTATTTATTTGAGAAGCAGAGTTACAGAGGGGGGGGGAGATACAGGAAGAGAGAGAGAGAGAGAGAGAGAGAGAGAGCGAAATCTTCCATCCACTGGTTCACTTCCCAAATGGCCACAATGGCTGAAGCTGGGTTGATTGGAAGCCAGGAGCCAGGGGCTTCTTCCAGGTCTTCCATGTGGGTACAGAAGCCCAAGCACTTGGGCTATCTTCTCTTGCTTTCCTAGGCCATAAACAGAGGTCTGGATCAGAAAAAGAGCAGCCGGGACAGAAACCAGTGCCCATATTGGATTCCAGAGCTACAGGTGGAGGCTTAACCTACTATGCCACAGCACTTGCTGCATCCATGATTCTTGTATGAAATAAATTATTATTAGAAATGGATGCTGATCTAACATTTTTTAAAAAACTTCTTTTTAAATGAATTCTATTGCTACTGATTTATTATTAGAGGAGCCAGAGCTGTGACGCAGCAGGTTAATGCCCTGGCCTGAAGAGCCAGCATTCCATATGGGCACTGGTTTGAGACCCGGTTGCTCTTCTTCCAATCCAGCTCTCTACTGTGGCTTGGGAAAGCAGTAGAAGATGGCCCAAGTCCTTGGGCCCCTGCACCCACGTGGGAGACCCGGAAGAAGCTCCTGGCTCCTGGCTTCGGATCGGCTCAGATCCTGCCGTTGAGGCCAATTGGGGAATGAACCATCGGATGGAAGACTTCTCTCTCTCTCTGCCTCTCCTCTCTCTTTGTAACTCTGACTTTCCAATAAATAAATAAATATCTAAAAATGAACACATCATTATTAGAAATGGACACTGACTTAATATTTTAAAACACTTCTTGTTAAATGAATTTTATCACTTCCCATCTTTGAGTCTTTGTTCCTAGATTTCCCATGATTTTGGACAAGTTGTATAACCTAAGTTTTATTTTTTCATTTATAAAATTAAAAGTAACATAAACCTGATTTCTAGTCTCAGTCCTGGCAATTAGGGTTAGTATTCTTTTTTAACCATAATGTACATATTTATGACATAGGTGTGTGAAGAATTCTAACACAATTTAATACATCTGTGAACATCAATGTTTTACATTCATAGTTGTATATCAGCTAACAAGATAAGCATTTTGATAGGATTATAAACAGAATATATTTTATTAATTAATGAATGTTGTTTCTTTAATTCCAATCTGTTTTTTGCAGAAATATAAAATCAGTGCCTTCAATGCATATAATGTTTTATTTGTGAAAAAGATCAAATAAACCCCTGACATGACAAATAAAAAGGTGTCAAATTACAAAACACACATTATAAATTACCCAAAATAATGGTGTCATACATGCAGAGTTTGTGCGTTTGTTTTACCATGTTCTTCACATTTGATGTGTTTGTGTTTAATACCTATAGGGAAGTGCCTTTTGGAGTCTGGTTCATGGACAGCCCATATTTCATCTAGAAAAGTTGTTATCATCTGCACAGAGTTATTGATATAAAATATGCATCTGTGGGGCTAGGTTGTGACAGAGCAGGTAAAGCCATCGTCTTCAATGCTGGCATCCCTCCCATATGGACACCGGTTTGAGTCCTGACTGCTCCACTTCCAATTCAGCTCCCTACTAATGTGCCTGGGAAAGCAGCAGAAGGTGGCCCCAATGTTTGGGTCCCTGAACCCATATGGGAGACCTGGCCCTTGGCTTTGCCTGGCAGAGCCCTGGCCGTTGCAGCCATTTGGGGAGTGAACCAGCAGATGGAAGATCTCTCTCTTTGTGTATCGCTCCCTCTCTCACTATAACTCTGCCTTTCAAATAAATAAAATAAATCTTTAAAAAATGCATCTGTACCCATTCAGCACGAAATGACATAGCCTCTTTTTTTAACTTTTATTTAATGAATATGAATTTCCAAAGTACGACTTATGGATTACAATGGCTTCCCCCCCATACCGTCCCTCCCACCCACAACCCTCCCCTTTCCCACTCCCTCTCCCCTTCCATTCACATCAAGATTCATTTTCAATTATCTTAATATACAGAAGATCAGCTTAGTATACATTAAGTAAGGATTTCAACAGTTTGCTCCTACACAGAAACATAAAGTGAAAAATAATAGATGATTTTTTAAAATGATGATGAAATCAGATCAGACCTATTGTCATGTTTAATCCCAGTGAGAGTCAAGTTGGGAATTGATAATTTCTTTTTTTCTTTCTTTCTTTTTTTTTTTTTTTTTACAGAAGATCAGTTTAGTATGCATTAAGTAGCAGAGGAGAAATGTGGAAACATCACATAGCCAATCTCAAAATGTTGGCAGGAAATCCTGTGCCATTAATATAAATCTGTTTCTTTAAACATCTTACTTGTTTTACATAGTCTGCTTTTACAACCAGAAACAACT